ACGCCTTTTGTCATTTAATCCAGGCTATCTACTTGTATTATTATTAATGCACTTGTTGAATGACCCCTTTTCCTCACTAAGATCACTCACTCAATATTTTTACTTGGTTTGTGGATTCTGTAGTCATAAGTAGTGTCTGGCACAAGGCCACTTTTTAATAAACCAGCACTGCACGCTACAGGGTCCGCAACAAATGTTTACAAATGATCAGAGTATATTCTTAGGTAGATCACTTATATATACATGTATGTATTTTGTCAGATTATCAGTTCCACGACTCAATCGACTTTCAGACCATACAGTGTTGATTCCTATGTCAATATTGTTCATATCTATTAGCATCCTTCTTCCATAAATATAGCAAATGATATACCGTACGCATACACAACCACACTCACTCACTCACACACACACACACACACACACATATATATATATATATAGCGAACTGGATATATATATATATATATATATATATATATATATATATATATATATATAGTTCCAGTGGATGTGGATATATATATATATATATATACAAGTAAACCGGCGTTGGCCGGGGATGTAACAGTAAGAGATAGATCAAGTATCGACCATCATAAAGACTGAAAAATAAAATTGACAAAGATTATTGTTTAAAGTTGATGGACACACATGTCTTAAATAGTTTATTTTTTTTGTTTTTGTTTTGTCTTCTTTTTTTACGAATTGGTCAAACCCAAACTCAAACAAAAACATTGTTTTCAATCGTTATGAGTCTATCGATTGAATAGAATTTTATTATAAACAATTGTCTTGTAAATGGAATTTTTAAACCATTCTAAATGTAAAAATAAAGAAAAAAGTGTGCAAGACAATAAGAAACACTACCTGCCAAAAAAAAGTGAAATTTTGTTGAAATCGGTTGAAAAATGTAGGAAATCCGATCCCATATATAAACGAACACACACACACACACACACTCAAACAACCTGGGTTTTATAATAAGTATAACTCGATATGAGTTGTCCCCCTTACATTCTCGACAGCGATGCCTCTTAATCTTGTTTTCAAATTGATTCCGTGCAAAAACAATTGTATTTTTCCAATTTTTGGCGCTGTCAGATCCACCGCAAGGTAATTTTACGTAGCCCTGTGAAGTTTTGTTGAAATCGGTTGAAAAATGTAGGAAATCCGATCCAATATATAAACGTACAGACACACATACACACACAACCTGGGTTTTATAATAAGTATGATATATATATATATATATATATATATATATATATATATCCAGTTCGCTAGTGAATATTTGATATTCCTGTGTAACGTCCGTGTCAGTTACGTCTCCTCTCATCTGTTATTTTATGTTTGAAACAATGGTTAAATATCTGCGAATTTTCTTCCCTTGCAAGAGATTGTCGTCCACATTCAAATAAATGTTTTGTTTTTTTTAATCTTGGTTCGCATCATTCCAAAATTGCTGCATCACAGTCTTCCTGTTCACTTTCCAAAATCATAAGCCCTAAATGCCATTTTGCAGGCAGATTATTGGATTTGAACCAATGTAAAAAAAAAAAAAAGTTATGTAAAAATAATAATTTTTGCATAACTGTGTGATAAAATTGAAGTAATTAATTTTACAAATTCTCTTATGGATGTAAAAATAAATATAGAATCAAGAATCCAGACTATAAAGAATAAAAACTCATAATGTCATGAATAAAATGGAAAACGTCTTTGCTTATTAAAACAAATAAAGGGAGTGTCAGTTTTACATAAGTTGATGAATATGGAATCATTTGAATTGTGCGTATTAAATGAAAAAGATGGTTGGTCCGAGAAGTGACCCCTGGGAGACGCCTGTGCTGACCGCCAGGCCCTCGGAGGACTGGCTGTTAATAACTACCTTCAGGAATCTACCTGTTAGGAAGGATTATTTTGTGCCAATCCTTGTCGAAAGCCTTAGAGATATCTAATGCTATGGTACTTGCAGTGTGTGTGTTGTCAACCAGTAAACACTCAACAACCCTAACCACTATATATATATATATATATATATATATATATATATATATATATATATAAGAAAGAACACTAAGATATATAATCCGATGTTCTTATTGATATTTTTATTTTTACAAAACAGTGCTTAATGTAAATTTACGGAGCATTAATATTATAAATTAACTGATTTAAAATGTGTTTTTTTTTCGCTACACAGTAATAACCATGTTTCAAAAATGGAAGCTAAAAGCTTCAAATTTAATTTTGTAATTAAATTAAAAACATTAGTTCCATTTCATCCTCAAGCGAATTTTGGAGTAACTTATTTTTTAAATTTACTGAGTTTTAAAGGCACAAAAAAATTCATAATTCATTGTTTCCAAGGATTCAGAGAGATCTAATCATTCAGACAAGGGGTGGTAGCATGTTCATTTTCATTAACTTTTGTTGTATCAGTTATTAGTTACGTTCGAAAAAGGGGTTATGTTTAGGTAGGGTAAGGATGTATTTTTCAACGAATTCTGACATCCGTTAAATGCATCCAGTTCGCTAGTGAATATTTGATATTTCTGTGTAATGTCCGTGTCAGTTACGTCTCATCTCATCCGTTATTTTATGTTTGAAGCAATGGTTAAATATTTTAGAAAGTTTGTGATGGTACTTAATGAGAAGAGACTTTTTTTTTTTTTTTTGCTTTTTTTGCAGTAAGGTTCACCTTGTAGAAGGCCCCAGGTCTAGTCGAAGTAAAGGGGTAGTTTATATGGATAGGAGTGCAAGATAACGGTTGACTTTAGACTTGAACAGGGTAATATTGTAGTGATCGGGGAAACATCCTCTTCAGAGTCGGTCCCACAGGGCAAGTAGTCCGCGAGAGGAAGTTGTTTGAGCGGAACTTGCTACTCGCCAATGGAATACGGAGGGAATGTGGGTGGTTTTAGAGATATTGAATGTATCCAGACAGTTTTTCCCCACTGAGAAGTTAACGGAAGAGAGCTCAGCTGCTAAGGGTTTTAGAGGTACGCCCGTACATCATCGTATTATCGGCATAGACGTTTACAAATCATCGGAGTATATTCTTAAGTAGATCATTTATGTAAATCAGAAAGAGAATTGGTCCAAGAAGTGACCCCTGGGGGATGCTTGCGTTGACCGCCAGGGTCTCGGAAGACTGGTCATTAAGGGATCTACCTCTTAGAAAGGATACTATAATAGATAAAAAAAAAAACCTTCCAGTGATTCCATAGCCGGAGAGTTTGTATAGCAAACCTTTGTGCCACACCTTGTCAAAGGTCTTCGAGATATCTAATGCTATTGTCCTTGTAGTATTTATGTCATCAAGGGCCTAATTCTGTGTATAATAGTAGTTAAGACGTCAACAGTGGATTCGTGAATAAAAACCTTTCTACTATATATCCTGAGCATCATCTTACCAGAATATATACGACATTAAATTGTACAAAATGATTATGCATTTGAGGTTACATTTAATAAAATTTAATAAGAAATTCAGTCTGTAAAGTGTTAATTACATTTCCTGTTTCTTGCTTAAAATTACATTGTTTCTAGCACATCGACTGCTATATATAAGTCATAGTGTGCCAAGTTATGAAATAGATTATTGCAGTTGTTATCGTGTTAATGTCTTTTCAAATATTAAATGTTTTCATATACTTCGCAATCTGTTTAAGCTTTAATAACAAGAAAAAACCATTTTATCTGAAATTTGAAGAGTTCAGATTATTGCATCGATAGAAAATTTTGTTCGAATATATATATGTATGCGCGTGTGTGTGTATATATATATGTATGCGTGTGTGTGTGTGCATATATATATGTATGCGTGTGTGTATATATATGTGTGTGTGTGTGTATATATATATATGTATGCGTGTGTGTATATATATATATATATGTATGCGTGTGTGCGTGTATATATATATATGTATGCGTGTGTGTATATATATATGTATGCGTGTGTGTTTATATATATATATGTATGCGTGTGTGTATATATATATATATATGTGTGTGTGTATATATATATATGTATGCGTGTGTCTGTATATATATGCATGCGTGTGTGTATATATATGTGTGTGTGTGTGCGTGTGTGTATGTATGTGTGCGTGTGTGTGTGTATATATATGTGTATATGTGTGTGTGTGTGTGTGTGTGCGTGTCTTTTTTTATATCTTATAAATAATAAATTTCCGGTATTATAATTCGATAATCTTTTGCTCAAAAATACTTAAGAAGGGTTTAATTCAGTTTATATTTTTAAAAATGTCACCCAATACAAAATTTCTATCAATCACATCATTAGTAAATTTAAAAATAAAGCTTCTGAAATATTTTGACTTTTTATCTTTATTGCGTATTTGGTAAAATCGAATTTTCGGTTTAGGGCGACATTTTTCAAGAACTAAAGCAAATTAATGTCTTTTTGTTACTTTTAAACAAAAGTTCATCAGGAGCAAAATGTCATAACCCTTTTATATATATATATATATATATATATATATATATATATATATATATATATATATACACACACACACACACGAAACTATCTTCGATGACAAAAAAATTATGAGAATATTTCACTTGAAATATTTTCTGAGTGTTGCAAAAATGCATCTACAGTAAATTCCCATCTTTATTCGGAATTTTTCATTTTCTTTTTTTTATTTTCGAAAATACGAAATCACATTACCGAAATTAGATGCGTTTTCGGGGCTTTGACAAAAAAAACTAACCGCAGTCTGTTAACAAAGACAGAACACTCAAAACGGAAGAAACGCTAAAATACATTATCATAGATAATCTGCTATCAAGAGTTAACCGTCTTTTTATATTGATTTGCACAAGGCCGAAAGTAGGGAGTGCCCAGTGATCTTACGAGACAAGGTTGTTAACCATTACACTACATTGAAGTGTCCTTGCCATGTTTTGAATCATATTGATATAATGATGCAGTATAGAAACAGATAAAAGGACAAACCACTGAGAAACTAAAACGTACGATGGTGTTCAGTCGAAAGATGAAAGGTGATGGTATGTGGTCGAAAGAAGAAAGGTAATGGTATGTGTTCGAAAGATGAAAGGTGATGGCATTCGGTCGAAAGATGAAATGTTATGGTATCTGGTTGAAAGATGAAATGTGATGGTATGCGGTCTAAAGATGAAAGGCGATGGCATCCGGTCGAAAGATGAAAGGTGATGGTATGCGGTCGAAAGAGGAAATGTGATGATATGCGGTCGAAAAATGAAAGGTGATGGTATGTAGTCGAAAGATGAATGGTGATGGTATGAGGTCGAAAGATGAAACGTGATGGTATGCGGTCGAAAGATGAAAGGTGATAGTATGCGGTCAAAAGATGAAACGTGATGATATGCGGTCGAAAGATGAAAGGTGATGAAATGTGGTCGAAAGATGAAAGATGATGGTATGTGGTCGAAAAATGAAAGGCGACGGTATGTGATCTAAAGATAAAAGTTGATGGTATGCGGTCGTAAGAGGAAATGTGATGGTATGCGGTCGAAAGATGAAAGGTGATGGTATGCAGTTGAAGGATGAAAGGTGATGTTATGCGGTCGAAAGATGAAATGTGATGGTATGCGGTCGGAAAATGAAAAGGGGATGGTATATGGTCAAAAGATGAAAGGCGATGGTATCCGGTTGAAAGATAAAAGGTGATTGCGGTCGAAAGATAAAAGGTGATGGTATGTGATTGAAAAATGAAAGGTGATGGTATGTCGTCTAAAGATGAAAGGCGATGGCATCCGGTCGAAAGATAAAAGGTGATGGTATGCGGTCGAAAGATAAAAGGTGATAGCATATGGTCGAAAGATGAAAGGTGATGGTATGTGGTTGAAAAATGAAAGGCGACGGTATGTGATCTAAAGATGAAAGGTGATGGTATGAAGTTGGAAAATGAAAGGTGATGGTATGCAGTCAAAAGATGAAAGGTGATGATATGCGGTCTAAAGATGAAAGGTGATGGTATGCAGTTGAAGGATGAAGTGTGATGGTATGCGGTCGAAAGATGAAAAATGATGGTATGTGGTCGAAAAATGAAAGGCGATGGTATGTGGTCTAAAATGAAAGGCGATGGTATGCGGTCGAAAGATAAAAGGTGATTGTTTGCATTCGAAAGATAAAAGGTGATACCATGTGGTCGAAAGATGAAAAGTGATGGTATGTGGTTGAAAAATGAAAGGTGATGGTATGTCGTCTAAAGATGAAAGGCGATGTTATCCGGTCGAAAGATAAAAGGTGATAGTATGCAGTCGAAAGATAAAAGGTGATAGTATGTGGTCAAAAGATGAAAGGTGATGGTATGTGGCCGAAAAATGAACGGCGATGGTATGTGATCTAAAGATGAAAGGTGATGGTATGTTTTCGAAACATGAAATGTGATGGTATGCGGTCGAAAGATGAAAGGTGATAGATTGCGGTCGAAAGATGAAAGGTGATGGTATGCGGTCGAAAGATGAAAGCAAAAGAACGAAATAAAAATAGATATATGAACGTGGATTTTTGATCATCATAGTCCTGGGTATAACGATAAACTACATCCGGCATCAAGTCCTCTAATCGGGAGATTGGAGGTTTTGAGGAGCTCTTGTTTCCGGGTTCACCCTGATCCGGAATGGTAGCACCTGTTTTTATAGCAAAAATACCAACAATACATTTTTATATAAAAAAAATTACCAACAATACATCAATCAACATAAAAGAACTCTTTCCTGACATTAATCCATATAATATCCTACAATTTCTTAAAGAAATCACACTGTATTCTAAAATATAACTTCAACAAAACTAGAACATAAAGCACACATATCACTGCCTGTAGTAATCATGTCCCCAGAAACATGTATATGCAGAAAAGCTGAGTATCATCTACCATGTATTCAATTGTGAAAGCAGAATAACATATTTTTATTACTTCAGTGGTCCCTCAAAAATTAAATTTCGGCATTAAATGACCCATAAGGTGTTGATATGCCGTTAAACAAATCAAATCTTCTTCATCATTATTTGAGGAATAATCCGTCAATTAAGAATATAATTTTCGGCTGGTCATAGAAATTTGTAATTATTTAGTTAAGCAACAGCAAAAAGGGGACAAAGGTATGTTGAAAGACCGTTTTGCATCGACTTGCCAATTTGGGGGGTGGGGTGGCCTGTCTGCCTCCCCCGAACACCAACACTAGAAATTCTTTCTGGCGCCGAGCGATAGTTAACAAACTGATATCGTCTGATCATCCATAATTATTTCGATCTACAACGAACATTTCATTTTTGTGGTCTTATGTTACACTGAGCTAAGTAAATATAATCGCCTTCTTTAGCACGATGCTTAACTTTCCCGTCTCACAAACCAGTCCAATGGTTTAATAACTTTGATTTTCACTGTGTATCCTATCTATTTGAACCCATAAATTATTTTCGCTTTTGTCATCTTGTTTTTGGGGGAATTTTTTTTAAAACTGCTGTCTAATGTTATCCGTTTCATTATATATAGTATTATTATTTACTCTGAAACAGTAAATATTGTTTGCAGGGGCAGATAACTGATGAATCTTTTAGATGTTGCCTTTTAGATGACTGTAGTGAAAGAGATAATCAGGTACCTCGGAAAAAAGTTCGTGTTTTGTGTGCGATCTGCCGAAGAAGGATTACCAAAAAGTAGTCAGCAAAAATCTTATAGCGAAGAAAACGGTGACTTACCTCGTCAAACCAAGCGACAGCGCGTCGCGTGTATTCTGTGACGGAAAAAGAAACAAGTCCGTCGCAGGAGTCGCTATAAGAGGATATTGATATGCAAATTACGGAGCATCCTATCCCAGCTGTCGACGAATGAAAAAATAGGTTCTGCCGATAAAAGCAGTTGGTGTTCTCGATTCGGTGGGAGGAAAATTCGGGCATTTTTGGCTACGGCGTTTGTTGGGAGAGTAATCTGTGACAAATTTGCTTTGAGAACGCTTACACTTACAATGACCTCTCACTTTTACAGAAGTATGGCGAATTTCGAAAGGGCACTTGGATTTAAACATGTTTAGTTGGATTTTTGAGTGCCACCAAATAACTATATAGTTAAAAAAAATGCGTGACGCTAAACTGTCAAACTTAATGATTTTTTTTTTAATTATTTCACTCCAAGCAAGGCAATAAAGCCACTAGGGCGCAAGGGGGCCACTGAGAGTTAGAGAATATGACAAGAACTACTATTAAGGAGAGAAGACAACAAAAGAACAAGAATTAAGAAGATAGAAAACAGCGATTTAAATTGTAGAGTGCCGTGTGGGTTAAGTGTTGTTGAATTAGAAACACGTGCGTTTATTTCCTGCTAGAAGAAGGTCCAACTACAAGAACATGGCGGACTCAAGTTAAGTCCAACCGAAGATGTAAAGAAAACAAACAAGACCGATATATATATATATCAATAAATATATGTATTAAACAACAAATTTACAAGTGACAAAGTCATCAACATTTGTGTTTGTGTGTGAACGTAAAGAGTTTGTATGTTGGTGAAAGTTCGTACGTACATGTATTTGTATTTCATGGCGTTTTCCCACAAGTGGGCGAAAACGCGGATTTCTACGAGAGATTACATTTCTAAATGTGTCCGCTGAAATGCAAAGTGAAAAAGAGAACGAGACAAGAAGTCGCCCATTATTATTAGTGTAGGGAGAGCGACTCTTAGTGAACAATTAGGGAATTAAGGAGGAGCTAACTCCGACACCTTAAACTTGTAATGAAGATTTCTTCAAAGCAATTCGACCACAGCACAGATGCGAGGTTCGAGAGGAAGTAGCGGAGTTCGAGGAGAGATAACTATGATTGCCTTCACCACAACTAGCTTTCGATTTTTATCAATTTCTATCTATAAAAGGCAGGATGTGTGTGTGTGTGTGTGTGTAACGAATGCACGGCCGCAATTTTCGACGGATTTGCACCAAAATTTACGTGCACATGCTCCAAGTTAGCGGGAAGGCCAAGACCGACTTTGCATTTCCCAACTCCCATCGATAGTGGAAATAATCGATTTTTTCATGCTTCTACGACAGTTTTCATGTCGTCTGCGGCCATTTTCTACTGGCCAGAGTAAGAGCCAATAGCTGGCTGCCACGAATAGGCAGAAAGATTCTATTGGCCAGCGTAAGAGCCAACAGCTGACTGACACGAATGTTAACTAGCATGTTAACATGCAAAAAAAATCGATAGTTGCATTCGTCACAAATGGGAAAAATGTAAATCTCCATGACACTTTACTCCAATTGGCTTATTCGCTTGCTTAAACTCAACGTTGATTCTGACTCCGCAGAACTGGGTTGGGTGTGAAAAAGTATTTGTTGTTAACATTCTTTTTTCATTCAGTTTTTCCAGTTACGAGTCCTTTTTTAAAGCTGATCGTTTTGTGTTCATTTTGTTTAGTTCTTTTTCGTAACAGATTTAATGTTTAGTATAGAGCTTAGAAAAATTCGCAGTGTGTGATAGGCAAGAAGTAAGGCATGTAGCAACATCAGCACGGCAAAGGGCACTCCTTTAAAGGCAAGGAAGGGCAAAAATATTTTAAGTCAAGTGATAGCGATTGCTGTATGAGTTGTACGATTTTTGAACCAAGCACGGGCAACGCCGGGCCATGCTGCTAGTATTCAATAAATATTATTCATCAATCTGACGTGTTTTTTTTTTTTTTTTTTTTTTTAGTGGGGGGGTTCATTTTTCTACCTTGAAAATAGAAAAAAGTGCATAACCATGTTTTGTGTCTGCATTAAACTTTGGGAATGTTTAATTCGCGTTCTGGTTTAATTAGAATTTTCACATCATTACTATGACTCGTCTCACTTGCCTATAACTTGATTAGAGCTTCACTGGATTTGGTATAATTTACGTCGACATTTTCTTGTCTGTGACACGTTTTAGTGTCGGTTTCCACGTGAAATAACCGTCGAAGTCTATTTCAATTTAGACTAAAATCAGACAGACTCTGTCCTGAAACATAAACCTTTGATTTCCATTCGATAATCATAGAATTCTTTTCAGTTTTTTTTTTTTTTACTTTTAACTAGCAGTAGAGCCCGGCGTTGCTCGGGGATGTAACAGTAAGAGATAGATCAAGTATCGACCATCATAAAGACTGAAAAATAGAATTGACACAGATTATTGTTTAAGGTTGATGGACACGCATGTCTTAATTAATTTTTTTTTTTTTTTTTTTTTTTTTTTTTACGAATTAGTCAAACCCAAACTCAAACAAAAACATTGTTTTCAATCGTTATGAGTCTACCGATTGAATAGAATTTTTCAGTTTTATTATAAATTAGAATGTAAAAATAAAGAAAAACGTGTGCAAGACAATAAGAAACACTACCTGCCAAAAAAAAAATGAAATTTTGTTGAAATCGGTTGAAAAATGTAGGAAATCCGATCCCATGTATAAACGAACACACACACAAACACACACACAGAAACAAACAACCTGGGTTTTATAATAAGTATAACTCAATATGACTTGTCCCCATTTCATTCTCGAAACAGCGATGCCTCTTAATTGTGTTTTCAAATTGATTCCGTGCAAAAACAATTGTGTTTTTCCAATTTTTGGCACTGTCAGAACCACCGCAAGGTAATTTTACGTAGTTCTGTGAAGTTTTGTTGAAATCGGTTGAAAAATGTAGGAAATCCGATCCAATATATAAACGTACAGACACACACACACACACACACAACCTGGGTTTTATAATAAGTATGATTACATTGAAAAGAAACGACTGATATTTGCTATACAATTAAACATCGATTTTTATTTACAATGAAACCTCA